CTTGAGACATTTCAGTCAGGACCAAAGCGACGACTGACATCACTATCTGTAGAAACATGCCTGAACGTCTCCTACGCTGTGGATTACATCTATCTGAATGATGTTGCAGATGGAGGGACACTCACCTAAAGCTATGGCCATAAGTATTGCAGGGACCCCAAAGGCCAGAGCATAGCAGTCACCATCAAAACACTTCACATCGCCTGCAGGAGCAAATCCAGCATTAACAGCATCAGTGCAGTCATGTCATTAATACACTGGCCCAGGGTTGTGCATTAAGACTGCGACCATACCTCTCAGTATGGGTGTAATCAAGGTCGACAGGAGGCTGCCAGCATTGATCGACATGTAGAAAATGGAGAAAAACTTCTGCCTCTCGCTCACCTAGAGGGGACCGACAAAATAATCAGCACATACTTTAAGCTTCTTGCCAGAATTTTGGCAGCAAGTTGCTCTTAAGGTTTTAGAACCATTTTGAAGAATCATTATCTAAACACAGTGAATACCCCAAAACTCTAGTGCACTACAATGTTGTGTAACCCATTTTAACCCGTTTTCTACACAAAATTAAAGCTATATTCATTTATTTTTGGCCACTAGAAGGCAGGAACACAGGTTGACAGATACGCAGACAACTTATCACATCTGACTTATAACAGCTTTATATGTCTAAATGCTCTTCCTTCACATTGCATATATGTTTATTAATACATTGTTTTGTTTAAATGCACATATTTTTTCTGGGTGACTTAAAAAAAGCACATTCAGATCCACTGTACCAGAGCCAGGTTTGGTGGGTTTTCAACATACTTGGCGAATAAAGAGGATGCTGCTAACTGTGTATGTTAAACAGTATGGCTCACTGCTTCCAACATACACTCAGGAATATTATTATTCATCATTTTGTCCACCTGACGAGTATAAACCAGCTCTGACACAGTATTTAACACTCTCATAAGCTAGTGGACAAACACTAGCAGCAGCTGCCTGTGCTGGAAATAAGGTTGATGACAGCGATGAGGAGGAATCAAAAGGTAAATGAGCCAGTGTGGCTCTACTGCCACACCAGGCGGCTTCGCTTGAGTTTTGATATCAGGGAGCATTTCCCCCTGGACGTTGCTCTGATCGTGGGGTTTCCTGATCCTGAAGCACTCACTTCACCAAGAATGCTAATTAAATAGCTAGTTTCCTTGTTTTATCATCAAATTGTTTCTTTAGTTTTAACAACCGTTCCATCAGGATGTAAAACTGCAGATTGCGTGCATTAAGCCAGGTCCAGCTGAAAGCTCTAACAGGTTGACTCTGCGCCCCAGAATGAACATTCCCTTAACAGTAAGAAAGTACACAGCTAAAATATTTTACAGCAACCACAGTAAGAGGTAGCTGTCATTAACTAAAGTGTCTTTTATTTTATGGTCGGACCAGAAATAGCAGGGAAGACTTTAAGTAGAGACAACAAGGGAGAACTCCTCCACGTCAGCCTAGATTAATGATTAGAAGTCTGAACTATTTAACCATAGGCAGGCTAATCTCACCACTTTAACGTGAGGGCAGAGCTGGACTCCTGTACTGGAGCCCCAGAGTAACGTTCCTCTGGGGCTCTTCCTGAGGTTTCCTCCATTCTAAGGTTTTTAAGGTGAGGTTTTCCTCATCCAACGCAAGGACAGAGGATGTCGTATGGTGTACAGACTGTAAAGCCCTTTGAGGCACATTTGTGACACGGGGCTATACAAATAAAATCTGACTGTGAAACTAAAAAGGTGCCTTACGTGCTCCTCGTCAAACTGGTCTCCACCGAACGCTGCCACACAGGGTTTGATTCCTCCAGTGCCAAAGGCAATGAGTATCAGACCTGTCATGGAGAGAGCGCTGGAACACGAAACACAAACATACAAAGTGCTGATGCAAGCGGAGATGCATGGTGGGCAGAACACACTCACTGACCACTTTATTAGGTACACCTGTACAATTGTGTGCAATTCAAATGCAACACTTCTGCCTTAACATCTGTGTTCATGAAGCTCAACATGTTTCAGTCTTTGGTGAAATTCAATTCTATGTTTATTATTGAGGCCATAGTCAAAGGTGGTGTCCTACTGGACTACACTTTATTCAGAGGTGTCTCTATATTTTTGTCCATCCCCAGCTACACACATGAGAGGGTCAGAATACAATTGTTCAGCTGTACCTAATAAAGCGGCCACTGAGTGTATATTAATAATAGTTAAGCCACAGACAGAGAATCAACAGACTGAGCATCTTTGGGTTTTGAATGATTCACCGTGGGCTCTGGGAACCTGTGATGGGCATTGTTCATCATTAACTGACTCAAATATTAATGGCCACATTAAGAGATTCATTTAGAATGAAAACAATCAATAGTTAAAGTAGTAAAGTGTTGAACCTCACCCTGATTCCAGATTTCTGAATCACTACCCACGTCTCCAAGTGAAACAAAATGATAATGAGGCTGGAGACTAAAATCACAGTAATGTTAAAGAGCTATTTGTCTTCTGTCTAACCACTGAAATATGATTCTGCATGTTCAGATGGACTCAATCAAAGAACTTACATGTGCACGGTGCTGTCTCCTATAGTGGGAATGGCTCCAACAGATTTGACCACATGGCCGATCACGTAGACAATGGACAGGTAGACGATGGTCCTGTTGGGAGTCAAGAGTGATTATGTAAGTTCACTCATATTATTATACAAGGTGTGTGTGTGTGTGTGTGTGTGGTCAGAGTGATTTGTCTACCTCAGTCAGTGGTGTTACACAGTTTGGACAAAGCTTCCAGGTTAAAGGCCTGATATACTGAATGATGTGTACAAACTGAAATCATGTGCCACCGGTGAATAAGCAACTACACGCATGTTCATTTCTGCACATAAAAATATTTGCACGATACCACTGCATTTTTTTTAGTGAACTAGTTCAACTGACTCTCTAATTCATTTGGGGATGAAGCATCACCTGAACTTTCCAAGCCAGGAGTCGGCGATGAGAGCTCCCAGAATGGGTGTGAAGTAGCAGAGGCCGGAGAAGGCGTGGTAGATGGCGGTGGACAGGTCCTTGTCCCAGTGGAGGTAGGAGACGAAATAGAGCGTCAGCACCGCTGTGAACAGACGCACCAGTATAACCCAGGTCAGGACATGTACAGTAAATATTAATACGTCTGCAACGTGACAACAAAAAGTGACCCATTCTAAAGTGTCTCGTGTTATTTGGAGGACAAGCGTCCAGTGTCTGTTATAG